AGCATGGGGAATAAGCAGGAAGAGTTAGAGGTCTGTGTGCGGGCTAAGGGTTATGATCTAGTAGCAATAACAGAGACATGGTGGGACAGCTCACATGACTGGAATGTGGCCATGGATGGTTATGGGCTTTTTAGGAAAGGCAGGTCAGCAAAGCGAGGTGGTGGAGTTGCTCTTTATGTGAGAGAGCAACTAGAATGTATTGAGTTTTGTGCAGGGGCTGATGAGGGGCAAGTTGAAAGTCTGTGGGTAAGAATTAAGGGGCAAGCAGGTGCGGGTGACACAGTTGTGGGGGTCTACTACAGACCTCCTGATCAAGGTGAGGAGGTTGATGAGGCTTTCTACAGGCAGCTGAAAGCAGCCTCACAACTACAGTCCCTACTCCTCATGGGAGATTTCAACTACCCCGATATCTGCTGGAAGACTCACACAGCCAGCCTTTCACAGTCTAGGAGGTTCCTCCAGTGCATTGATGATAACTTCTTAATGCAAATGGTGGACAAGCCGACTAGAAGAGGAGCGCTGCTGGATCTTGTACTAACCAACAAGGAGGGCTTTGTTGAAGCAGTGGTGGTCAATGGCAGCCTAGGCTGCAGTGATCATGAGATGGTGGAGTTCAGGATCCTGTGTGGAAGGAACAGAATACCCAGTAGGATCAGAACCCTGGACTTCCACAGGGCAAACTTTGGCCTCCTCAATCAACTGTTAAGGGAAATCCCATGGGACAGGGTGCTAGAAGGTAAAGGGGCTCAAGATAGCTGGTCAACATTCAACGTAGTTCATGAACCCAAGAGAAAATAAATGGTGGCATCCTCAGCTCTACACAGAAGTTAAATCTAGGCAGTCTAAATCTGCTAGGATCTGTAGGATCTGTGTCTACACTCATAGACATGGTCACTGGCAGGGAACAGGTCTTCAGAGGGGTGTCTTGGCACTCAAAGCACTGTGATTATGATAGCTTAGCTACACAGTCTGCTTTAAAGCAGCATTTAATTTTGGTGATTCACAGACATGGTACTTATAAAAATGTCATTCTGAGCTCTCCCTCTTCTCTCCGTTTTTCTCTGAAATTGATAAATATTATACCATGTTCTCTATTCTGTTATCTGTCATAGACCAAAAAATAATCTTAAAGCAACACCAGATTTGATATCTGTAAATCTCAAATATTCATTTTCTTTGTCTAGTTAGAAAACTGTTTTGTATACAAGAAACAATCTAACACTGAGGTATACTTTATGAAGAAGTCATAACACTGTTTAAGTATGTTGCAAATGCTCCTTTAGAATAACTTGCACTGACTCATGGAAGATCTTTTGTGGATGACTAGTTCCTTATAAAACTTTGGTAGCCAGGTCCCAGCTGGAACACCAGCAGCACTGTGCTCTTCTTCCTGATGATGCAGCACATCAAACAAGTCCCCCAGACACTCCCCATTACAGGCTCAGTATCTGTCTGGTGGTGGTCACGGAACAAAACTGTGGGAACCAATGTTGTAGATCAGAGTCAGTGTAAAAAAGAATATGTAAATACAAGAAGAATACACAAGTAAGAATGTTTCCTAGTCCGTAGTGTCTAAGATTTCACAGCTTAATACCTATTTAAATTCTTGCATTGTAAGTGGGCGATTTTCTTCATCTGGTACAGTTATAGATCTTCCCTTAAAAGCTTTTTCCTGTGGCAACTGCATACTGAGTCCCTGTCATCAGGCTGAGGTACAAGTTCCATGCCATCCTGTATTTCAGGTTTGCTGGCTTGGCGTCTGGCATATTCCTGAAATATGTAAACAACATTTAAGAATGCTACAAGCACCAACGTATAATTCATGAAACAGAATTTTCTTCCTCCCTTCCACTCACAAGGTTGCCTTTATCCAGGCTCCTCATGTCATTGTTTACAACCTATTTGCAAGGTGTCTTTATAACACACCTACTAAAAGGATACATTGCCTCTGAAAACCTTTAATGTTTTACCCTGTTGTATTAGTAATGGCAATTTCAATATTGCCATTATTTGTGCCTCTAACCACTTAATGCAGAAAATGCTGTAGTTTTTGTACACTGATCAGTTCCAAACTTTGTGTCAATCTGTGGCTGCTAAAGCTGAGATCTAACTCTGTACAGCAGAACAGGAAAAAAGAAATTAGTACTTTAAGAGATCAGACATGTCTTTCACTAGACATTTGCATCTCCTAGGGAAGCAATGAGTATTTGACTCATTAGCCATACTTCTGGAATTTCTTTTCCATGTATTCACTGCTTTGTAATACAGTGGAGTTGCTCATGAGGGGATGATGGGAAAAAGGAAGAAAGTTGTGTTCAGATTATCTCCCATATCTCTTAGAAACCACATACCAAGTGACACTGACAACAGGTCTGACTGTGGGGATGGAGGCAAAAAAAAGGAATATCTGATTCTGTAAAACAACTAATAATTGCCAGGTTGCCTCTTAGATGGTGAATCAGGTATTAGCAAAGCTCTTCATGCTGATCTCCTGTGAATAATAGGAACCATGGCTGCTACTGATTTAAGGACTGAGCCTGAAGTTTGTAGCAATGGTAGCAGTAGCAGCTGGGGGAAAGTAATGAAGTGATCTATTGTACTAACCTGGAGCACTTTATAATAGTAGCAGTAAAACTTATGAGGCTGAAGTAATTCTCTTGCTATTAATTGTCCTTCTTTAGCAATTTTTCTTGCTGCTTCATCATTTTCCTGGAAAATTGAGACAAAATAGGGCAATCAGTGAGTTACTCAAAGCCTGGTTGGCATTAAAAGTTTTATTAAAGGGGCATTTATTCAAATGTGCAACTTTATGTGCAATTACTGGGAGGCTGCAAAGGCATGCTTTAAATTGCAGATTTTTTTAAAATACAGAATTGCTTTTATGGTCACAACTGGTACCTTAGGGCTATCAATTACAACTTTCATGGATAATTGTACAATTTGGAAAAGTCAGTTGATTACTGCTCTACTGTTTTGTCCAAGCCACAAAGTCTCTTCAAAATAAATTCTGACATCTCCCACACATACTAAGCTTTACACAAGATCAAGCCACAGCTGTTGTCCTTTCCTATGCAATGCAATTCAATGTCTTCCTTCTAAAAATGACTCTGCTTGAATTCATGTACTTCTCTCAAATTCTTTTAGGTCTGTATTTCAAAGCTTTAGTAATCTTATCTCATTCTTTATGAAGAACTACAGCACTCTCAGAACAGAAACATAATCACACTATTGTATTGGTTTGTTTTGTTATAGAATCCCAGCCTCTTATTCTGAGCATGTTACAGAGCAGGGATTTTTTGTATGTTCAAACAGAACACACAAGGACTTCTGTTCCAGTGAGGACCTAAAAAACCACAATGGAATTAATTAGGTGGTATCTAGCATTCTGGGCGTTTCTCTGAAAATTACCTGCATTAGTCAGTATACTAAGGTTCTGACTCATGAAAAGCTTCTGCACATACCTAAAATAAATTCTTAAGTGTTTCCCTGAATAGAGATGGTTACGTGAATTAAGGCCTTCCCAACTTATACTAACAACAAAATGTACTTCCTTTACCCTAGGATCTAAACAGAGTTCATGCAAAATCTGTGTGTGGAAATACAAAGAGATAATTAAGATGCACTGTTTACATATTTGTTTTATCACTTTGAACTTGAACTAGTAATGGAACTTACCTTAGCCCATTTTATTTTCTCTAGCAAGTCCTCTAAGTTTCTCTTAACTGGAACATAATGTTTCCATGGTTTTAATCCAATATAAAAGTGTTCATAGTACTGGGAATCTTGTTTCAATACTAGGCTGTCACCCAGCAAGAGGTATGGAAACCTGTAAGCTGCTACAGTCCCGTCGACATTCACCTGGTATTTGTACTACAACATGAAGATGGAAAGAAAGGTGAAACCTTTTGAATCAAAATAGGAACACTCCTGGATAAAAGATTATTTTCACAGGTAAAGCATAATTGTATTTATTAATTTTTATCTTCAAACCTGTTTTAAACAAGTGTAGTTTCAAGTGCTATGGGTAACATAATGGAAAAAGGATTTGCTTTTGACCCAAGACTGACAGTCAAGAACCCTTATGTCACATCAACTGCCTGATGGGTATTCTATTAAAGTATCCTGGGACAGAGCAAGGGGTAGAAATAAAACTAATCTTTTATTCAAAAATAGTAAATTTATTCTGTTTTCCAATTATATCCTTATGTAGAATAATCTGAAACATATATTATTGTATAAAATAATCTGCAACATTATACTAAAAGTAACCATGAATGTACTGCTCTGGCAAATGCTCTTGGCTGTCACAGCATTTTTGATTTGTTAATTGCTGGAACAGAAATTCAGCTGACATATATTATAATTGGTTTTTACAGGGCTTTTCCTTCCTTTACTTTTTATACCTCTACTGCAGTGGAATTTATGTATTAAACTGCAACTAAACCACCTATTTATTTTTCTAACTTGTTACTTGGAGGACTCTTTCTGACATCCATAATGTACTTGCAAAAGACACAAGTTGTATCCATTGTTTCCGTATTTACCCCAAATAATAGAAAACCTGATGGTGAGAAATCAAATTTCTCAATCTATTAAAACTCAACAAAACAAAACTCCAAGAGCTCTAAGGAACTCCATGAAAACAAGTACAGTGGCTTTCTTTAGAAGCATGTTACACTGTCACTTGGTTACAGGTGGTCTATCTACCTCACATCAACCAGCATTCGCAGTGTAGCACAATTGTTTTATTTACTGGCTGGAATTAGCAAAAGTAAGCATTGTCTTTGCAGTTGATCTGAACTTGACAGCAAAATAAATCCAAGACTGGAATTTGCTTTCTACCTTAAAGAAGTCAAAGAAGCCCATCAGCTGAACCTTTCCCAGCTCTTTTTCTTTTTCTCTGAAGAAGAAATACCCTGTTATTCCAGCATCTAGTAGTTCTGGATTTTCCTTGGATAACTTGACAAGATGGAGACGTTCTTCTCGGCTGTCTCGACCTCTAAATAAAGCTTGCTCAGTTTTGTTTTCCCACAACGGGCCTATGAGCATTGCATGGTAAGATAAAAGCAAACAGTAATGAAATGTTCATGATGTGTTTAAAGCAAATAAGGAACTTGCTATGACACTGGCATTACACTCAGAGACATGGAAAAACAGGCATGATTCACAGAATCACAGAATATTAGGGTTTGGAAGGGACCTCCAAAGATCATCAAGTCTAACCCCCCTGCCAGAGCAGGACCAAAAACCAAAACCAACAACAAAAAACTAGGGCAGATCACTCAGAAAGGCATCCAGACAGGTCTTGAAAGTCTCCAGAGAAGGAGACTCCATGACCTCTCTAGGCAGCCTGTTCCAGTGCTTTGTCACCCTCACAGTAAAGAAGTTTTTCCTCATGTTGAGGTAGAACTTCCTGTGCTTGAGTTTGAATCCATTGCCCCTCGTTCTGCCACAGGGCACAAGTGAAAAGAGCTTGTCCCTGCCTTCTTGATGCCCAGCCCTCATGTATTTATAGACATTAACTAGATCCCCCCCCAGTCTTCTCTCCTCTAGACTGAAAAGCCCCAGGTCTCTCAGCCTTTCCTCATAAGGCAGGTGTTCCAGTCCCTTAATCATCCTCAGAGCCTCCGTTGGACTCTCTCAAGTATGATCAAGTATGATTCCTCATAGTTAATCCAGAATCACTTATTAATCACAGCTTGAATTCTGCAGCAAGAAACTGAGCCACTTATAAAAGGAAAATCAGAAAATGGCTTTTCCAGTCAACAATTTTATCTTTAAATAACTTGAAATATCTTGAAAGCTACATAGGTATTATAATCAAACTATGCAAGTAAAACAGTAATAATTATAGTAATTCTCCATTGACATCCTCAAAGCCTGACACAATAACAAATATTTCTTTAGTAAAATCCACTTCTGTAAGCCAGCAATTTAGTTAGGTCTTTAAGGAATCACTTAATGATGATTTAAATAGGGAAAAAAAGGGCTATACTGTGTCCTGAAGTTACTTACAAAAACTTGGAAGACTTAATCTCTGCTTACTGCCTGCTTTTAAAAACAGTAAATATGTCCTTTCTCATCCTTCTGTTGGAAAGTTTCTTAAAGGACCTACTAAAATGGAGTAGGTTCTTATCATGTCCTATTTGGAAAAGCAGCTGGACTAAATAAGTAAAAGTCACATGCTTCAATCTGTTAATTTGACCCCTGTCAGTAAAACTGACTCTTCCATAAAAGCTAGAGGTATTTCATTTTAAACAATAAACCTCTTATAAGAGGTTGCACCATAGTATTAGCTTACTTCTTTCAGGATTCATTCATTTTTATGTAAACAGAACATTGGGCCACATTCACAGTCAGAAAAAGGGTTACTATTTGATTAGAAGGAGCACATTCAAGTCCTTCACTGAGAAAGGCCTTTTGATTATATTTACTTGTCTTTTGACAGGTCACAGTAGCTATCCTCTGGATACCTTTAAGTTAAAATTCACTACTATTCTAAACTGGACTTCTTAAATTTTGGCTCTAAATCCATGTTAGACACCTGCTTAGCTGTAAAGACTAACCTCTTATATTAAAACACCTCCTAAGGCACTTGTGAACTGAAGAATTTAACACATTATTTGAACGCAACTTGATCTTTGATGGAATTCACAAATTCTCTTTTGAAATCCATGATCTCTAATTTACCTGTATTTCCTTGAATAGAAAGGAGATCATTTGTGACACCACGTAGGGTTTCAAGAGTTGAGTGGGTTACATCATACGTTGGAAGGACTATGTCTCTTGAATCCACAGAGCCACACCACGAAATGACAGGTAGAGGGCCAGGTGTGTCATTAGCCTTCCGATATTCGACTGGCCAGTCTCCAACATTCAGATAAAACTCCACATCAGGAAGACGAACCTAAATATATACCCAAGACAGGATAATAACACAAAGACAGAAGCTGTTTGTCACTCCTACAAGTATTGCTCAGTTCTCTAACATCATGCAGAATCACTAAACCTACCACATAGTATTTAGCTGAGCTTAAGGTGTGGATTTCAAGTTTTTGCCCTGCAAGCATGAAAGGAACACTCAGAGAGGCCAGGAAAAGGATCGCAGTCAGGCCTGAGCCCTTGCAGCCTTCCTACCCATTTCAGTACTGTCAAGCTCAAACCCCACATACGAGTTTCAGCCTGGTCCTTAGAGATACACTGTCATCTTGGTGAAAAAATGGAAGTCAAATCTTACTTCAGGAATTCTGAATCTGAAGATACCTCAAGGAATGCAGCATTGCCATATTAAAACACGACATAATAGACTTGAATGATCGAAAATTATACCTTTCTTGCCAGTGACAGGAACATTTCATCAGAGAACATTTTGAAGTCTGTATACCTCCCTAAGGAACGACGGTAGATGTGATTATTGAGAATAGTGTAATGGACAATAGCACCTCTTGTTTGACTGAATTTTTTTGGAATTTCTTTACGCATTCGCTGAAGATCAATGGTGGGAAAAGACATGAAGTCCTTTGTAATCTGAGGTTCCTGGGATGGACAAGACATAACATTCTGCCAGGTCTCAGGGTCTTCTTCAGGACAGTCACAATATTCATGATAAACTGGTCCTGCAGTAAACAAAGCAATAAGAGTCTGTATTTGTGATTCTACCTCAACCATAATTGCCCATATACATGGGCATATAAATGTAGACATTACAGGGGCTTTACATTTTTTATTCCAAGTTTTCTGAAGTGTTCCTGTGAAATCATCCTCCCTACAACATGTCTGGGGTTCAGTAATGTAACTGAGAAAACAGCAACATTTTAATCCTCTCAAAAATTTTTTGCTATCAGGGTCAAATTTATCTGTATAATGAAGCTCCATTATTGTGTCACCTGCCAACCACATAAGAGCATTCAGAGTTGTTCTAACAGTCCATAACTACAGAAGCTCAGCTATTGCAGTTTCAATTTTAGCCTAATTCAGAACTTCAAGACCCCAATAGTCTTTACCTCTGGCATAAGGTGTTTTATGCACAATCAACTGTTCTTTCTGCCCTTTGGAAACTGAAAAATTAGGTATAAATAAGAGCCTCGCAGAGCATGAAAAAAAGCCCTTTTTAATTTCCTTTTAATGAAACAGATTCTGTCCTGTGTCATAGTTTAATGGCTGTTGGCAAATGTGCATCAGCAAAAAGAAGGCATACTACTACTTTGAGGACTCAGAACAGTTTTGTTTCAGTTTGAAGTTTCTGTTTGCATTTAGGAAATTTTATTTTAAAAAACAATGACCAAATTCTATTTTGAAGAAGTAGTGATGAACTGAAACAAGACTCTCCAGATACAAAAATTTGTATTATCTTTTTCTTTGCTAAACAGCTGTCCATTGAAGAGCAAGAGAAGGTAGTTAAAAAAGTAGATCTCAAATGAGAAAGTAATTTGCATTGTTTTCCCTGCTTTTAAATAGTTGTTCTACCATAGAAAGACAGTTAAATATTATCTGGTTAAGGAAATATTGTCCTGGTTTTTATGAAGGATCCTACTTTTTAGAAATCATAGACATTTGAATTATAAAGTGTTTGGGACAACAAAACCACCTTGTTTTTGCAGGTAGTATTTTCTACTTCAGATAAAAATAACACAATGTTTATGTGAATCCCCACTTGAACACCTTAAAAAACACAAGCATTGCTCTCTTATTACCTACCAAACTGACAAGACCTATCTCCTTATGCAAGAGGGAAGAGGAGATGTCCAAACACATCACCTTAACCTCAGGGACCATAATCTACATGCTTATGCATCTAGGTCCTGTAACGTGGCAATGTATAGAGAGTGTCACTGCTTACTTCTCAGTATAAGGAGAACATTTGTGAGGAGACTTCATGAACAAGGTCAAACACACCTCTAATTTCACACCTCTTCTTCTAGCAGTAAATTAGTCCATAGCATTTCTGTAGCTACCATCACACATTGCATGAAATGAAAAAAATACCCTTACCTTTCAAAATATAAGGAGATTGAGCTACATGCTGGTCACCATAAAATATCTCAATTTTCAACCCTTTTCTGACACTCCCATACATCCGATACCGCATCAGAAATGTGCCATCATTTCTATCCAAAGGGTGAGGGGTGTAAATTCTGGTGGCTTCTTTTGGAGAAAGTGCTGTTATTACCACTTTAAACTGTGTTTTTCCTGAAAAGAGGAAATAAAACCAGATAAAAGCACTTGAAGATATTAGTATCACATATATGAAATAAAGGTGAGAGTAAATTGTACTGGATTATGTCCATGGAATTTAATTTAACATTGCACTATAAATTTTTTTATGATACCAAGTTGGTAAAATGAATTTCCAGTGATGGAAGATAATCCTACCAAATTTTCTTGATCATCACATATCTAATAAATGGAAAACCTGTAGGTGGAGATAAAAAGTTAAATAAGGATTACAACATGGGAGGAAAGGCTAGAAGTATTTAAAAGCAAAGATTAGGTTTAATATTTGGTTAGTGCTCTGCAGAACAGTAATTTCCTCTAGCAAAAGAAAGATAGGAAAACAAGCTAAGAATAAGAGAAGAAAAGAATACTTGCCAGCTTGTGGAAAGGCAGTTTCAGCATGCAGGAGTCAGATAGAAATTGTTCACCTTTGGGCTGCAGCTGGCTCTCTTGCAAATTTTAAGTCCCAGCTACTGAAAAGTAGGGATAAGAGAATGGTGATAGAGATGTTTCCTGGACATCTGTCTGACTTGTGCTTAAAGATCACCAGCATTTCATCATTAATACACTGTGACTTTTTAACTGGGCATGAAATATTTTGTGGACAACATAACTATGCATAAACACAAATCTATCATGTTCCCTTATTTCTGTCATAAGTGGTCATTATCAGCTTTATTCTTCAAAAAAGAGGGGAACAGGTTATTCACAACATGTTACAGTCTAACCATTGCAAATAAAACAAATGTGATGGATGCTACCACCAAGTAGTACTCAGAAAGAAATGAAACTGAAAAAATCCAGATAAAATTAAAAAATGTTACTGAAGTGTGAATGTGTTCCAACAGCACTTAAAGATTCATGTTACAGTTATTTCTATAAAATCCACAGCTTAACATCCATTAATATGTCAGTGATAATGGCCCAACACGGTGTATAAGAGTCATTTAACAATCATAGAATATGCGGAGTTGGAAGGGACCCATCAGGATCATCAAGTCCAACTCCTGCCCCTGTGTAGGGCACCCCAAGAATCACACCATGTATCTGAGAGCATCATCCAAACACTTCTTGAACTCAGGCAGACTTTGTGCTGTGACCACTTCCCTGGGGAGCTTGTTCCAGTTCTCAACCACCCTCTGGGTGGAAAACCTTTTCCTAATATCCAACCTAAATCTCCCCTGATTCAGCTTCCTGCCATTTCTCTGAGTCCTGTCACTGGTCACAAGAGTGAAGAGATCAGTCCCTGCCCCATCTCTTCCCCTCGTGAGGAAGCCACAGACTGCAGTGAGGTCACCCCTCAGCCTCCTCCTCTCCAAACTGAATAATCCAAGTGACCTCAGCCACTCCTCATAAGTTATCCCTTCCAGACCCTTCACCTTCCTCACGGCTCTCCTTTGGACACTCTCCAATAGCTTAATGTCCTTTTTATATTGTGGTGCCCAAAACTGCAGGCAGTACTCAAGGTGAGGCTGCACCAGTGCAGAGCAGAGCAGGACAATCACCTCCCTTGACCGGCTGGCAACACGGTGCTGGATGTACCCCAGGACACAGGTGGCCTTCCTGGCTGCCAGGGCACACTGCTGGATCATCTTCAGTTTGCCACCAACCAGGACCCCCAGGTCCCTCTCCACCACACTTCTCTTCAGCCACTTGTTCCCTTGTGCAGAATCTGTCACTTGCCCTTGTTAAATTTCATGTGGTTGGTGACTGCCCATCTCTCCAACCTGTCAAGGTCTCTCTGCAAGGCCTGCCTGCCCTCAAGGGAGTTGACAGCTCCTCCCAGTTTTGTATCATCAGCAAACGTGCTTAGAATTCCTTCAAATCCTGCCTCCAAGTCATTGATGAAGATGTTAAAGAGGACTGGGCCTTGGATGGAGCCCTGCAGGACCCCACTAGTGACCAGTCACCAGCCTGATGTTACCCCTTTCACTGTCACTCTTTGTGCTTGATCTGTGAGCCAGTTGCTCACCCATCTTATGGTAGGCTTGTCCAACTGTATGCTGGACATTTTGTCCAAGAGAATACTGTGAGAGACAGTATCAAAAGCTTTGGGGAAGTCCAGAAATATTACATCCACTGGCTTCCCTTGATCAACTAGGTGGGTTACCTTGCAATAAAAAGAAATTAGGTTTGACAAGCAGGACTTTCCCCTTGTGAAGCTGTGCTGGCTGTGATCGATGACTGCACTGTCCTCCAGGGGTTTTTCAGTACCTCCCAGGATAGTATTTTCCATAATTTTACCAGGCACTGAAGTTAGACTGACTGGCCTGTAGTATCCAGGGTTCTCCTTCTTGCCCTTCTTGAATATTGGAACATTAGCCAGTTTCCAGTCAACTGGGATCTCTCCAGATTCCCAGGACCTCCCAGAAATCATAGAGAGAGGCCTGGTGATGACATCAGTCAGCTCTCTGGGGACTCTCAGATGGATCCCACCAAGCCCCATGGACTTGTAGGGATCTAACTGTAGCAGGAGATCCTTTTTCAGGGTCACCGAAGTCTTATCTTCCCTAGAGCACTGCATCTTGAAATAGGATTCAACTCAATTACTGTGCAAGAGTCTCCAGATTGATCATAAGGCAAAATCCTTATGATTTCGGATGTGTATTTCCTGACAACAGATGCCAGGTCTTGTCACAGAGAGAACAGTCACTCTAGGCAACTCACATCCTTCGAGATATTGTTGTCAGAGTGGATCCCTCTATAAATAAAAATATGGCCAATGTCTGTGAGCAGAATAATCTCTCAATGCTGAACATACTCTCTCTTCTGCTTTGTTTTCCAGTGTAAGAATGAAGACTTTGCAAACGCTCTGGGTAATCTGTTTTATCACCCTCATGATAAAAAAACCTTTTTCTTGTGTTCAGACTGAATTGAATGTAATTGTCCTTCCAGTTTTCAGGAACATCTTCTGTTTGTTGCAGTCTTTCAAAGACAATTAGAAGTGGCCTCTACAAGGGTACTTGCAGAATTCTTTCTTGTTGCCCTTCTTATCCCTCACCAGAATAAACTCCATATGAGTTTTGACTTTCTTAACCCCAGCCCTGCACAATGAGACAGCATCTCTATAGTCCTCCTGGTTTACCTGCCCCTTCTACCTCTTCTACGCTTCCTTCTTCTGTCTGCATTTAGTTAGAAGCTCCTTGTTCGTCCCTACAGGCCTCCTGACATCTTTGGTTTCCTGCTGGTAAAGACAGATCATTCTTGAGCTAGGAGGGGCAAGCCCTGAATATGAAGCAGCTGAGAAAGCAACAGGGAAGGACTTATTCTTCAGAAGAAAAGAACCATTTAAATTTTTGTTCTTTATGTGATTCTGATGGAATTAGACTTATCTTGGATTTATTAATTCTCTCATGTCGTCCATATTTTTATGACCACAGTATCTGCTTTTCATTCTACTAGAGTAAAAAGACTTTAAGAAACTTCAGAGACTCTGAATACAGTGCCAGCACAAGCACTAAGACTGTGGTAAGGCTTTTGAAAGGATGAAAACATCAGTGAATTGGTTTCCTCCTGAGTGGCCTTCTGCATGAGGATAGCGTGGAGCTGTAGCCCAAATAAGAGGAAAGACACATTTCTCCAGTGGTGAGTAACAATTTCTGTTCCTCATTCAACTAAGTACTGCCAGAAGTCTTAGTGCAGGAGTGAGCCCCCTCCTTTTGAATTTGCCAACAGATTCCGTTAATGACTCTCCCTAATGAATGGACTTCTGTGTCTCTACAATGTTACTGCTGGTCACAACCACCTTTTTACCAACTTAATCCAAGTATCCTCTCTCGATGACTATCACATAGTACTTTTTGGACAAAGAAGCCCTTGAATCCAGAGAAAATAATGTTATCTTTATATTAGTTATTTGTCTCTTTTTACCCAATTTATAAAATGGCATTTTTACCAGGTATAGAAATTTCCTACTAGAGAAAATGAAGTTTTCAGTTATCATAAAAATGTGTCAATATTGAGAAATCTCAAGCCAAATGCTACTGAGTTTGATCTCACTGTCCTCATATACAGCAAAAAACTAAGCTGGTCTTTGTTCCCAACTGGTTATGGACCTACTGCTCTAGTGACATGCAGAGGTCTGGATCTACCCAAAGGATGTGTTAGTTTTAGTTGATGGCAGTTTAGATGCAGAAAGCATTTGATAAGGGAAAAGTGACCTGGTAGCAAAGCTCTCTAAGAATAAGTTAATCCCACTGAAAGGGAGAGGAAAGAAAAGGGAAACTGGATATTTAATGCAAGTACAAATTATTCACTGGAGGCAACAGGATTTTTGTTTATGATTTACAACATTCATTGCATAATGGGGCCAAGGCCTCCAAGTACTGCTGCAGTACTTAATTATAACAGCTTTTGGCTGATTTATTTTTTTAAAACTGGAGAAAGGTTATCATGGTACTTTCACTCATGCTTTTTCTAATTTTCTCAATTCAAAGACATAAGTAAAAAATTGTTTCACCCTGAAAACCTGTCTAGGACATTATTTTAAGTAAAAAATAATGTTCCAATCCTGAAGAGAAACTAAAACACAGACACCATCAAGATGGGATACTTTAAGAAACCCAGGTGATGCAACTTGCTTTCTGTATGTGTGCTGGTTTGGTTTGGTGGGTTTTTTGGTAGTGGGGGAAGGGCCCCAGGAGTGGCTACTGTAAGAAGCTGAGAAGCTCCCCCTGCTCCAAACCCAGCCAAGGAGCCATTGGAGGGACAACAGATGAGCCTCTGTCATTAACGTACGAAAGAAATTAAATGAGACCTGAGCAGATTGAGCAGCTGGAGAAGATCTGAGCCGGAGAGGCAGAGAGACCAGCTGAGAAGCCCCCCCTGCTCCAAACCCAGCCAAGGAGCCATTGGAGGGACAACAGATGAGCCTCTGTCATTAACGTACGAAAGAAATTAAATGAGACCTGAGCAGATTGAGCAGCTGGAGAAGATCTGAGCCGGAGAGGCAGAGAGACCAGTGCTGGTGATTGGTGAGGAAGAAGGGGAAGAAGGTGCCCAAGCAGAAGTTTCCCTGTAGCCCATGGTGAGATGGCAGCTGTGCCCCTGCACTCATGGAGGAACGTGGTGGGACATTCCCTGAAGGAGCTAGGAGGGGTGAACTTGGCCAGTGGACTTGGATGTTGTGGCCAGAGGATTTGCTGCCTGTGGACTCTGATTGTGCAGCTCTGGAAGACCCCGGTGCCAGGGGAGTTTGTTCCCAAAGCAGCCCCTGACTCTGTGGGAAGCCCAGGCTGGAACAGCTCCGGACCTTGTGGGAAGGACTCAGGAAGGAGAGGTTCATGCAGGACTCTCTCCTATGGGAGGGACCCCATGGGGAAGCAGGGAAGGACTGTAAGGAATCCTTCTTCCTGAGGAGGAAGCAGTGGCAGGAACCACCTGTGAAGTGACTCTAAACCCCATCCCCTGTCCCCTGTGCTGCTGGGGGGAAGGAGGGAGAGAAACCAGGAACAAAGTGATTTGGGCCTGGAAAGAAGGGAGGGGTGGGGTAACATATGCAAGCCCTGCTCTGTGTGTGTCTGTGTCCTGTGTGTGTTTGATTAGTGTGAAATGAAATTACTATTTTTTCCCCAAGTTGAGTCTGTTTTGCCTGGGACCTTAATGGGTGAAGAACCCTCCTTGTCCTTTGTCTCAACCCATGAGCTTCTAGTTGGCCTTTGTCCTCCCATCCCAGTGTGTGTCTGGGGAAGCTGAGTGAACGGCCATGGGGCTGTTCCTTTGTTGTCACTGTTAGGCCCAAAACATGACAGTAGGGATTTCTTCCCATCTATAGCTTGCATGCATGGATGAAAGAGTGAAGAAGTGCAGGGATGGAAAGGGAGGAAAGGTAACAAGGTATTGATTTATGCAAACTGTTAGAGAAGAACAAACGACCTAGTCACCCTGACTGTGACATGTATGCAGGAGAGAAAGGAAAAGATCTGAAAATAGGATTTTTTCCTCCACTTTTTTATTGAAAGCATTGCTGGTTATTTTCACAGATGGAAACTGGTGAGAGTCAACAAACAGGCAGCTGAACAAAACAGGTTCACTTAGCGCTTAACAAAATGGACTCCTGTGAATAGTATATACTTTAACAGAGTCAGATGTGAGGATATATATGCAGGAACAAAGAAATACAGATCATGGTAGGAAGCTGTGTGTGACCATCACAAAATCCAGGCATTGTGGTCAACAAAAAAAATGAGTTGCAAAGTTACAGCAAGTAGGTTGACGTGTGATGTGCAACGGTGCACAGTAATTCTGGTGACTGGAAAACAGACCTGGATTGAAAATCTACTAATGATCCTATAAAAGTTTCATACTGGATACCAGTAAGCACTGACCTACTTGACTGAAACTCCAGAAAGTCCATACAAAACACAATTTATTACATAAATCAGGACAAGTTTTACAAATGGGAGGCTTTAACTGCAGCTCTCCTTCTCTGATGGCAGCATTCCTGTTCATGCACTGGAGATGGTAATGTGGATTTAGTCAGCTATCCTAGCACAGATCCTCTGAGATATATTTCATATATATTGGACAGTAGAGCCTTAGTAAATATGATTAACTGTAATACTTACTGACATTTTACAAATATAAACATTTAAAATGATTTAATGATTTAAGTACTGAAATTTTGGGACTGTGTCTATACTTTAAGCAGTGCTCGTGCACTGGAATATGATCAACTGCACTGCTAAGTTGTTAAGGGATACTTGGCAGCCTCCTAAGTAACCCTTGGCACGGCTCAGCAGCCTGCACTGGAGGAACCAACAGCTCTTCCCTGACAGCAGTCTGGATGCACTGCCTTGCTTTGGAGGTTGCAGAATGTCACAGCATGAATGGAGAACACTCCATGCCAGATGGCATCAGGACCTGGAAACATTCCCAAAGACACTGTATTCATTAGCATAAATACAGACATCCACAAAGATGCTGAGGTCAAAACCAGGTTCTCCGTACCCACGTCCTATCAGTTTATCTTGGAGGATTTAAATTAGCATGAGAATCCAATTGAGCTTCATGCCTCTTGACCTTCTGAAACCTGTTGTTTGAACCTAAGGCTCTCCCAGAGCAGCTCAAACCAGCCCCTGCTGCACAGGCAGCGAGCAGGCAGCTGCACCTTTCCGTGCCACCCCAAAGCTGTGCTGCCACCCAGCACCAAGCTGCAGCAGCACCTGGGGAGAGTCCAGACCTGAAGCACCCGGGGTTCTGTCAGAATGAAGACATAACCTATATATGTCCATTCCCCAAGTTCACAAGCAGCAGCCTTCTTCCTATGGGACATCAAGAGTCCATGCATAAGTGCTAAATAACCTCTCAGTCCATCTACACGAACAGTAAAAAATACAAGGCAAAATAAAGAGCTCTGCCCTACATACATTAGCAGTCCAGGATTTCCACTGGGCAGCTACCTCAGGGTTATCTTAACTACGAATTCCCAATGTAAAAGTTATTTTTATTAAAAGTAATAATTATTAGCACAGAGCAGTGTGTGGACTCAACGCGCTGAGCAGCTGCCTGGCAGCGTTTCCCGGC